GGTTGTTCTAAAGAGCATGCTTTTTGCTAAACTGTGGATTTGCTGAGCTTTTGTGCCAGGGCTTATCCCTGTCTTTCAAAGTTCAGTGTGTCTCTCAAATTGAGGGGGGTTTGTGTGGGTGTCATGTTGTTGCACGGACACAGGGCTATCATCTGGTATGCATTTGGGGTAGCCCGGTTAAATTCCAGGGGGATGGGGTTGTTTTAAAGGTTGATGTGTTTTCGCACTGTTATGCAGTTTTTTTGTGCGTGGAAGCAAATTATGACCCACTCAGTTGATACTGTTCCAAGTCAGCAAACAGTTAAATTGGTGGTTGTAGGACCAGGTTTTGTTGAGCCGCCATGGTTTGGATTGTTTTGGGATACCAGTTGCAATGAAAAATGGGGTGAATTGGGGAAATGGCTTTGCAATCGGTGACGCTAACACTAAAATTGTCCCCTAAAATGCCTTATTTTCCAGACTAATGAGGAAAGCTTCACTTTTGTTACCTTAAAAATAGACCTTTCTATCAAATGGAAGCTCATGTATTCAAGAATTTCTTTTTGAGGTGAGATTTAACTTTTCCAGTGAGAAAGGGCATTAAATTACTAATCAGTGCGAAAGACTGACGTGTTGTAGTAGCCTGGTTTTCAAAAACCAGGTATATATGCAAAATTTTATTTACAGCCTGATATACTGTTGTTACACAAGGACTTCCGATACCAAAACCGTCGGACGATGCTTGCTTACACTGAGAACATGTGACCGTGAAGATATGAGACGTGCCTTCCAGTATCAGGTGGCTAGTGTTATGTAACAGGCTCTACGTATTTGACGCAACCTTGTTCCTAGAGTCTTTCCCCTTTCACTGGTCAGTAGTCGAGACGTCGGGGAGGGAGGAAAAGGGGAGATACCCTGAGAATGAGGTTGAGGAATTGCGGCCCCCTAGAACAAGCACCAGAAGTGCTTATCATTTGTCAGAAAAATCGGGAAATTTTGGTTTGAAGTTAAATTGGAAGGTATAGACAGTAAATCACTACGGAAAAATGGACAACCTCTGGAGATTGTCCTCTTTTCCCGTTCGGAACAGAATTCATGAAAGGAACAGAATGAAACAAAAAATAGCGAGAGATGCTAGTTCAGTTCTTTGGCATTGTATTTTAAGATGTCGTCGTTAAGATCCCTTGGTTGTTGCCCACATCTTCCAAACATTCATCCAAGTCTTTGTAGTTTTGATTGTATTTTTGTTGACTGACTTTTCAGCGAGCTGCTGTATTTTGCCCCCGGAAATTTCTGATTGGTTGAATCAAATTTCCCACGCTGCACAACCAGTCAGAAGCACCACCCTAATCTGGTTTATGACACATCATCAGTATGAAATTTCTGCGCTCGTTTCTCAGACGTCATTTGGCGGGGAAACCAGTGGTAGCGTTGCCAAATGTGGGCTATTTTCTCAGGCTAAAAATATTGCGGTGCAATTTACAGAAAAAAAAAAGAACTGTAATCCATACTTTGTTTTCACATAGCTGGAAGACTGCGTAGAACATGCCTTACATCATTTTTTTCAATGCAGCCAATCAGAGCAAGTACTTCACTCTTCATTGATACCTTGTGATGCCGTGTGATGCCTTGTGGTACAGTGTGATGCCTTGTGGTACTATGTGATGCCTTATGGTGCTGTGTGAAGCCTTGTGATGCTGTATGATGCCTTGTGATGCTGTGCGAAGCCTTGTAATGCTGTGTGAGGCCTTGTGATACTGTGTAAAGCCTTGTGATGCTGTGTGATGCCTTGTGATGTTGTGTGATGCGTTGTGATGCTGTGTGAGACCTTGTGATGCTGTGTGAAGACTTGTGATGCTGTGCGAGGCTTTGGGCTTCTGTGATGCCGTGTGAAGCCTTGTGATGCCATGTGAAGCCTTGTGAGGCTGTGCGAAGCCTTGTGATGCTGCGCGAGGCCTAATGTGATGCTGTGTGAAACCTTGTGATGTAGTGTGATGCAGTGTGATGTGGTGTGATGCGTTGCGATGCAGTTTAAAGCCTTGTGATGTAGTGTGATGCGTTGTGATGCCTGTGAAGCCTTGTGATATAGTGTGATGCCATGTGATGCTTCATGATACAGTGTGATGCCATGTGATGCTTTATGAAACAGTGTGATGCCTTGTGATACTACGGTGACGTCATGGGATGTCATGTGACACTATGTGTTTCCTCGTTACGCCCTGCGATGTCTTGTGACAAGGTTCTCGGCCCCATACCTTCCCTGCGGCTATTAACTACGCAATCGCAGATAAAATAATAATTGGGTTATTCCTCGTCTGTGTCGGTTGTGTGTGTGATGTGTGATAGATCACAAATTTTATCTTCCTAAATCGTGCATGGTATATAATATACTTCTCCATTGTTTCAACATTTCTGGCTGCTTGACTACTGCACAATGCCAAGCGAAGTGCCATGCAATGGATATTAATCATAAAGGGTGGTTTTCCTTTTTCAGGAGCGTGCTCACACCTTCAACTCTTCCTGTCATGATTGATGCACCATCTCTTCCAATACTCATCACGTGGGGCCCATAGGCCCATTGCGTCCTCTGGGCCTACCGTGCATTACTTTATGAAGAGATACACCACGGGTTGCAAGGACATTTTTTTTTCTTGAGCCACACAAGAAGTTGTGCACGGTTCCTCTTTAATAGTTATGTTAGTGAGGAAATGAGTCTCTGGAATAATACAATCAGACGGTAACTTTGCATAAATCACCAGTTTATTCTGCTTTAACATGCCAACAATAAACACGAACGGCTAAAAGAAAACAACAAAAACAACAGGTCACGTTTCATCAATCAAGCGTGGAAAGTCATAAAGTTATAAGCGTTGTGTTTCATTCAAGGGATTCGCAATTAGTACGTGCATTTTATAATTAACACCCCTATAAGAAGTATTCTACTTGTTCCCATGAATCCTGCCTCTAGCAGCCATTTTCATTTCTCCTTGTCATAAACGTTCGTAAGAGTGCTTTTTATAATTGTAAATTTTACCAAGCTTTAGATGACACAACGTTGTCAAAAGTATTAGGAAACGCCGAAGGAAAGTTACAAATTATTAGCTGGGCATGGAGATGTTTGGCGCGTAAAAATTACCCAGGATACGAATATTTGGGAGACATCTTCCATCGAGCCCCGTCAATCCTGCAGTGGTACGCTCTAGATCAGACACTGAGGCTGTAATTGAACCTCTGCTTTCGAGTAATCTCGAGCAGTACATAAAGGCTTAAATCGTTCATTTATGAGTGCAATATTTAGCATATTAAGAGACCCAATTACTGCCTTTTGACTCAATGAACAATTTTTCCGGTACACTGATTGACGGTTTACAGACGTTAAGAGAATCGAGAATCGAGAATCGAAAGATGGAAGACATAACAAAGATTCGACACGTGCTGGCTGCCGATTGTTCACCAATGAATGTAGGCAATGATCTAGACAGTCCACTATTGAGCAAATCAGATTCTGACCAGGAGCATTCAGTTTTACAGTCTTCCACGCCAACAAGACAAGTGAGGACATATTCAATAAGCTTCAAAGTAAGAACACTAAAGCTTTCATTATATTTTCCTGCCAAATGCATGGTCTGGCTTCCTGTGGTGATTGGGTCATTGCAGAAAAAAACCATACGCTCACGACAGTACCAAAAGCATTTATCTTCCACTGTCCAAAACATGGAATTGGTTTTTTTCTCCGTGGATGTCCCATGCACACTTTGGGCAGAAAAACGGCCAAGGGCTGCAGTAAAGATAACGCAAAGATGCTTCACCGCTCATTTTAAATCACGCAAATAAGCTTTGGGCTCTCTGGCATTCCCTCTTCCTCCACAATTGCTTAAAAAAGTTTGGCCCGTTCTTTCTCCCAGTTGCAAACGGAGCTTACATTTCTTGCGTAAGTAGCTCCAGAGGTCGAAGTCTCTGGAGGAATTACGGAAACCTCGTAATCATCAGCAGCGATGTCTTCTTCCGTTGACTGACCCGGTGTAGATATAACTTTCTTTGGGTGAGTCTTCGCGCAGTTAATTACAGAATTAATCGATAGGGGAGTGTGTATCGCTACCCTCCCTTTCCTACCTAGAACAGTAGTTTTGAGGACACTGGCTTAAACTTCTTCATCGAAAAATCACAAATAATGCCATGAACGAAAGAGAAAAACATAGCAACAAGAAGAATTTTCACCGTATAATATCTCAAACCTTTTTATTCCTTATGTGGTATCCTCTCTACCAGACAGCTAAGACGATCATTTTCCATGGGTATCATGTTCTCAATTAAGAACTAATAGGTGTTCCGTTTAGAGAAAATGTGATGTGAGTGTCAATTTTTGTCTTTTTGTGTTTGTGTCCAGGTAACAAAGTGACACCAGTCACTGTTTGTTGCTTTCATGTTCAACTGCATTTGCATATAGTAGCTTGCTGGGATTGGTTTGTAGTACGAGGGATAGCCTGCTTTAAATGGACACTTGTATTCAACAATACCTCTTCCACTTATTCCATGCATACCATAGCAATATCATCTTCTGAACACCCAAACATATCTTTATTGCAATGTTTGATGCTTGATTGTCCATAATCCTGTTTCATAACCATGTAATCGCTACATAGTAGGTGACCCGAGCACAGTCCTCACAAACAGTTCCCCACCCCATAGCTAATTTGTTGATGAAACCCCGGTTGTCATCAATACTTTCTCCTTGAATTGCAGATTTCCAATAATCTTGAGCCTGTGTAAGGCCAAAGTGCCAAGTAAGAACCCCCGCTTTACTTGCATTTAGTATGTTCTTCCTTGCCTCTTTCCAATCCTCTGACCTATGTTTTAAATATGGACGTATATCTGTCACGTCAGCTGGCAACTCACCTTTGAGGTGCTGATACTTGTTGTTCTCTTTTAGGTCGTGAGTTTTGAGGAAGGAAACAAGTGCGGGTAAATTTATGCCTTGTGTGTCAGTAACCCATTCATTGGAGGTATTGCTGTTCCCTCTGTTAGAACATTCTGCAGATAAATGGCCCTTTATTCCACATTTGTAGCATTCCTGCTTTGCAAGCTATTCCTGTGGTGAATGATGAATTTGTGTAATTCTTTGCCCATTGTCCTAACATGCTGCATCTCTTACACAAATATGTAGGGGCTGCCTCTTTTGGAGATTCATTCTTCATTGCTGTTTTTGTTAGTTTAGCTCTTCTTCCAGCAGTCTGGCCAGATAATGGAGATAAATCCTCTTTTATTAAATGGTATACACACCTCCGCTTAACAAACTTTCTTAAATATAATTCCAAGGCTTCTTTAGTGGCTTACATCCTCCTGGATAAGGTTACACAAACACGACCACCAAGAATATAAGTGTATAAACATAAGTTGTGTTCATGCATTGTTGTATGAAACCTTGTGAAAGCTTTTAAGGTTAAGCATTCCTATTTAAGTTCTGGTCCAGAAGCATGTTGAAATTGTGAATCTGAAACTCAAGTACTCAACTTGTTGAGTTTATTGCCGTTGTAGGCAAAGATAAGAATTTCCAGGCACGGGCATTCAAGTTTTTTCTTTTGATCCTCAGTATAGCAAGGCAAAGCTGGACATTTTTCTCCGGTCAAGATTTCTTCACAATAAACTTGATTGTAAAATACCTTGTAAATCGAAAGAGGGAAGCTGATTTAATGCTGTAAAACGAGAGAAAAAAAGAGTCCCTTCCCCTCTCTAGTAACCTTGGTGACTTAGGGCTCCCTCGAAGAAAGTGTAAACGCATGCGTACTAGGCCAAGAGAAAAAACATGCAGGGTTCAAACTTGCGGCGATTTTAAGACAAAACTCGCATCCAGCTGCCTCTTGTGCTTTTCATATTTGAACCCACCTTTTATTTTATTTATCCCTAAAGCTTAACATAAAATGTACCATGTTCGTTGTTCTTTTATAAAATAACTTAAATAAAAAAGTAAATTTGTTCCTTAATACGGTCTATAACCACAAACCTTTTCGCGATAGACTATTTGAGTATTCACATGGGCTTTGTACACAAGATTTTATTTTGCTGAAGCTAACTTAATATTAAATATCTTAATTAAGCTACATTTTTCCACTGTTATCTTTCATATATAATCTGAAACATGAGGTAAAAATATTTTTCTCAAAAAAACTTGAATCAGCAGTAAGAGTATATTGTTTTTCATTTACTTAATGTTTTTCCTTGACTGCTATAAACTAATTTTTTCAGCTGTATTAATCTGTGAATCAGACTTTGCTCAAGCAGATATTAAAAAATATATTATAAACTCTTTTTATGAACTTTGTTGAAATATATTTTGTAGCAAACTGAGTTTTTAGCAATTGACCTTAATATAAAAACTAGCTTGCTGTGTTGTTTGTAAAAGTACTGTTAAGAACCTACAAAGAACTTAGACCCTAGAATATATACAATACTTTTAAAATATATCTACTTGGTGTGTTTGTTTTTTGAAAGCAAATATAACATTGTTTCGGGAACTTTCTTGTTACATAACTGTAGTTAAGTGCTTTGAATCCTGTTTGAACAACTCTTTTGTAGAATCATTTCACTTTGTAAATTATTGTCAGTATATGTCTTGGTAAATAAACCTCAACCTTCTTCAATATCATTAATGTCATACATTCTTATGCTGCCTGCACTTTCATTCCTGTCTTCATCGTTGTATGTCTTCTGATACATACGCTTGGTTCGATACAAATCGTTTACACTTGCAAAAATTTTCCTGTTCTCCTTTTCCATAACTCGCCTTGTTTAGTGCGAGTTTCTCCCTCCTTTTTGTGTTGCTCGATGGAACATTCGCGATTTCTCGTGGTTCTTCTTTTCAACTGGCTGACAATTGAAAATAGAAATGGAGCCACATCTTTCCAGAAACTGTGGAACATGGTACACCAGAGCTGCAGAAAATAACAAGCAAGCATATGTTTGAAAGTCAAGGACATCGTTTAGGTGACAGGAGTTAAAGTAAGTATTATCTGTGATGACATAGCATACAAAGCATAGGAACAACAATAGTAATTTTGGGCGCTGGGACATGCAGAATTTCGATCACCTTTCAGCCCTATCGCATATGTTTTTATAGTAATATCTCATTGGGTCCAACTAAAATCAGCAAAAAAGCCGTTGCCTTGTGAGAGACATCTTGCATGGTGTGACCCATGTTTTGACAGACTAAAGTAATACCAGTAGACTTGTAAAAGTAATTGCAAGTTCACTATCAGCTTTAATCTCTAAAATACTTAATCCTTGAGTTAGCTATCGGCACCCGTTGATTTCAATTAAGTCAATAAGTCCAGAAGTGTTTAGCTTACCATGTATATAAGGTGGTATATCCTGTAGTGGAAAAACAGTAAAAATAAAATTATTATACACACTGTATCAATACATTGTTCTCAATAATAAAATATTGAATTATGAGACAAGATTATGTTGAGACGACAAGATAGTGAACATTAATTTTCGTAGTGTTGGGACAAGTGAACCATGTTAAAATTTAGGGGGCTTCCAGAATAATAAATAATGTTGTACCTCATCAAAATGGACAACTCGGAAGAACATGGCCCATTTTCGTGCTTGCTCCCTGAACAGGTCAGGTGGTTTGTAGCATTCTTGGCCTGGCTCCGCCTCAAGTGCTGTCACGAGCTCATCAAATCCCTAAATGCAAAATACTTGTAAGTGCGAAGGAAAAGTGAATATAGATATGTTTATCACTGACAAAATAATTATGTCATTTAAAATTGTGGACTCAAGTAGCATGAATTTTTCATTACCTTCCATAACTTTTTCACATTTTTTGTAGGTAAGCGTGCGCTCTGTCACTATTCCCTCAAAGACTGGCTTCAGATCCAAGTTGTAAAGAATGTTACGGAGGTCTTTACCTAAAATGTGAGTTGTTGAGTTTATTAATAGTAATACAGCAGCCTTTTTTTATTTGAAATAATCTTAATGTCAAAATGCACAATTTCATACTAACTACAATGTATTTACTGTAGAACTAGCCAATTATTTTTCATTTTTTGTCCTTGACGTTGTATTTTCTTTGTAATATCATTTTCTTTGAAAAAAAAAAATGTTTATTGAAAGTTAAATAAACCATTCTTTACTTATCATGAATTGAACAATTTTTTACCAATTATGTGATTATTCCTCAAATTGTGTGATTGGATGTGATTTTAGGCCAATTGTGTGAAATTGCATCATTGCATGATATTAGAAGCCCTTAATGAATAAAGGCTCTTGGATTATTACCATTAAGTCTTGTCCATTGTGTTTGGGAAGGCCCATCTTCTTGTTGCACTTCAAAGAATTTGAAGGGTACACCAATGTCTTCCAACTGCTTTTCCAGAACTTCTTTTCCTTTCTTGTTGATAACAAGCTCAACCACCTTGAAAAATTGTTGAAGAATATAATCTTGGTTAAGTATTGAATTTTTAAATTAGATTTTTTTGTAAATAAACATTAAATAGTCATAAGCCTGTCATACCATTTTATAAGAGTCATTCAAGTGGTCAAGTTTTTAAACATAGAAATATGATCACCTGGTGAAAGAGAAGTCCCATTATTCGAAGGAACAGGTGTAGAGTTTCAATGATGACTCGTTCAAATTGAATTGGCTGCAGGGGTTCATGCACTAAACCTCTTCGCTGGTCTAAACGTTTTCCAGTATGCTGCCTTCTGCAGGCCTCTATGGTTCTCTCAATTGGCCAGTCTTGTACTAAAAGTAATTACGACAACAAAATATAATATACATGGTCGCTATCGCTATATTAGCCCTTTTTCAAATATTGGTAAGTTATTTGTTTTTTGTTCAGAAAATGTTATACATGGTTATCTTTAAAAAGAATACACTATTTCTGATGGTAATAGCAGTGTATGTATATTTCTTTCAACTCACTAGTGAAGTCGGCAATTTTTGCCTTGGTACAATAGCACCATATGCAGAAGCAGTGGTAGAATTCTACCCATACACCATTGCCAAAAATTTCCAATCTGAGCAGCAGTACCTACCAGACAAGACAAAAAATGAAACATAAATTAATTTCTGGTCAACAGATAATATCAACATAACACAAGCACTGTATGATGTGCTTACTTGGTTAAGCTAAAAGGCTGGTGATATGATTTACTTAAATTTGTTTTATTTTTAATGGTCATATTACAATAAAATAGTCATATTACATTAAGAGTACAGTTGGCTCCCAATAACCCAAACCCTCACTAACTCAAACCTCACGCTAACTCTAACCAAAGTCGATTTCCCCTGGATTTCCTTTATACATTAACTGTAATTTTACCCTCGGTAACTCAAGCCCTCGATAACTTAAACCTGACGCTAACACTAAAAGACAATTTACCTAGAATGTTTGAGTTATCGGGAGTTGACTGTAGCCAATGTGGAAATAAAGAGTGGCTGCTTCATTGTACCTGTATTGTACTTAACAAATCACTGAATAGTGAACACCGTCAACTTCAGCGCCGTTGACGTGGAGATTGTCAATTTGATCTAAAATTGGTCCCAGACATGCCTTTGCTTCCTTGTAGTCCTTGTTTCCTGTAGGAATACAAATACAAGTTCTTTAGAATGATTTTCAGACATGTCCTTAAAGAAGTAGCTGATAAGAGAGTTAATTATAAAAGATCAAAGCACTTTTTTTGGTGATCATTTTGTTAGGTCTCATAACCTTTTCACTTCATTATGTACCGGTAATGTCAGGGGAAAATTGATTTTGTTCACTTTACATGCCTCATGTAGACACCCTTCAATTTTCCTCAGAGCACACCCCTGCTTTCGGGGCTAATAGTGTGTAAATAGCAATATTTTAAACTGTCAGTGTCCGATCATGTCATTTTTGCAGTTTGCTTAATATACAAATATGCATCAGTGATGCATGTAACACCAGCCCCCTTACAGTCCACAAAACTGAGGTACAACTTACTATTGCACAAAGCAACACAGTACTGGTGGTCACAATCATTTTCCTTTTCCTCAATTAGGCTGAATTCAGCCTTCACCGTACCAATTTTGTTGCTTGTTCTTCTTCCATCAGCTGCAAAACGGAGGCTGATCATATTACCATTTGACTGGACTGCTTTTTTGACTCTTAAAATGGTCAGGAGCTGTTCCAAAACCTCTTTAATGCTGCGCCTTGCTCCATCTCCATTTTTAGCCTGGAAATGAGAACGGTTTTTTAATTTTTTTTTCATGCTAGTTAGAAATAAACCATGAAAATACATGTTTTTTGTTTGTTTAAGAAATGATCATTATTTTTCTGTTTCTACATTAATCTTGTGTACTGAAACCCCAATTTATGGTTTTTTAAACCCTGTATTACATAAAGACCACAGAAAGATCCTAGCACTTGTATTTAAAGAAGATAATTAGAATATACTTCAGGTATTGATTTAATATTAACAATTTCATTCTGCTTGTTTCTTTCTTGTTTTACAGCACTGAACGGTGGTAAGGCAAAACGCTGGTCTTCTGGCAAGGACATTCTTAACTCATGATACGCCTCATCTGATATCAGACCACTGTCTTTCGCTACCAGCACTCTCTTGGTAGTTTCACATGATGTGGGCTCCAGCTCTTCACTGCTGTCTTCTTCTGACAGAGGAATGATTACCTCTTGACCCTGAACGTCAAATTTAATCTGAACCAAAGCAAACCGTTTTTACACCAGTGCTACTTGTCTTGCAGGATCTTTTGGTAGAGGATACTTTTTAACCAAAATTTGATTTCAAAGGCACATTTTGATATGTGTACCTGAGGTTATGAAAGAACAAGTCTGTGGAATTCTTCCTCCGTTCTTAATGCAAAAATATATCTTTAACTTATTATATCTGAACAGAAGAAAAGGACATCAGCTTACCTCCACTGGCTTGAACTCATCCAGAGCAGGTAATGATTGAATTACCAGTTTCTTGATTTTTTGTCGTTTTTCATTTCTCGCCGACTTTAAAAGTTGCCAAAGTTGTTTCTTGCTGTTGTAAAAACGTTGCCATTTTGTATTTTTTCTATTTTTTGCTCGTTTTCTTGTTGGACGGCGTGAACTTGAACGTTCAGTTGCTGGTAGTGGAAGCGAAGCGCTTCATTTTCTACACGGGGCCAGTTGATTTCTGTATTATACACTTCGTAAAGAGGAAGAGTCCATTCTAGTGTCTTATGGCTGTGCCCGAAACTGTGTGCCTTCTGATGTTTGGAAAACGTTTGTGCATTTTAGTATTAACCATATGAGATCAGTTTTGTTTGTGGCACGAACTGTAAATTCTCTGCTTTTTAGGGACTATTGTTTTTTAGTTTTGTTCTGACTCTCACGTAAGTAGCGCAAACTCTTTAATACTACACGACAACTTCCATTATTTCCTTTGATAATCGTGTAAACTGACTCTTTGTTTACACAACTGTGCAAGTCGTATACAATTTTTACCAGTGCGTTAGTTATATTGGATTAATAGGCATTTAGAGGTTAATCTATTTCGTTTAAATTTCTCGAAGTGCCGTAACGTAGTCGTTAATGTGCAAAGCGTGCGCACTAGAGCATTGTTTACAGTGGATTTCTTTTTCAATGGACGTTAAGCTTCGCAGGCAGTGAGGTTTCAAAGGAGGTGCGATTTTATTCTGTTCCTTTTCAGTGTTTCGATCGTCATCTGAAAATTGTCTTTTTATAGATTTAAATCACACAAGTAAACAGCGCGTTCATGTTAGGGAACTTACTCACCAAGCGCGAGAATTTTGCTTGAAAAGAGCAATAAATTATATCAGCAACGGTCGGGGGCATAGAACCGTGTTTTAAACTTCGTGGGCAGTGAGGTGAAAGGAGGTCCGATTTTTTCGGTCTTTTTGTTTGATGTTCCTTTTCGATATATTAATCGTCATCTGAAAATAAGCTTTCTTTTGTCTGATTTAAATCACACAAGTAAACAACGCGTTCATATTAGAGAAGTTACGCTCCAAGCGCGAGAATTTTGCTTGAAAAGAGCAATAAATTATATCAGTTTAAAGGGCCGGGGTTTCAGAACCGTGTTTTAAGCTTCGCTGGCAGTGAGGTGGAAGGTGTTATTTTGTTCCTTTATTTTTTACTCACGCTCTTCAATGCATTCAATGGGATGTGCATTTAATTCTTGTTCAAACAAACGACTGTAAAATATAACCGTCATTTACATGAAGAATAAAATTTCCTTGCGCAGAATTCAAACAGTGCCAACTCGGCAACAGAATATAAAGCGGGCTGTTAAAACCACTGATCAGAGCGCCGCGATCAAACCACCGGAATTGTAAGTTCTCGGCTCCGTCGATTCAATCCGTGGTTAAAGTTCCTTATCATTGTTACTACGAGAAGTCATTTTTTGAAAAATTTATTTGAAAACCCAAATGTTTCTGTACTCGAACGAAATTTGCGTTACAATTGCAGCGGAATGTGACCGTAACTCAACTAAAATTTTTAATCGATGCGATGAAAACTACACCACAGAGCTGTCTCGAATCTGAGCGTTTTTCCTAAAAAAAAATTGTTTTTAAATTAACAGCAGCTGGGTTGGACTAAAAAGTCAATAACACAATGCTAATTGATAAATTGCCATTTCAAAACAGACTTTCTCTTGTCTAAAAACACACAAAATGTACCTCAAATCGCTGATTCGGTGTTTCTTCTGCCGATCCTAGCCGCTTAGGAAACAGTGATAAATTCATCCAGGGCAAATTTCTTTTGATCTTTTGACTTTTTTCTTCAAAATGACAACTGAGTACTTTCTTCAACTTCCACTTTTCATTTGTACATTTCATCGGTGCATTTTACTGACTAGAGAGAAGATTTGCTAAATTTGCCTCACTTTTACCGCGCTTGCTCAGTTGTTTGGCGTGCACCCATGAGCAAATGGTAGATGCCTATCTGACCAATCAGAACGCGCGCTCTAATTTTGTTATATTATAATCGAACTAGTCAATGATATGCCGGTTCCATTATTTAGTGAAGACCTTCGATGGTGGGTTATATGGTTTGTCCATCTTCTTCAGCATTCAGTTACAGAGGCTTCATTTTCCTTGGGGGTTTCTGAAAGAACAGATGAGTGCTTTATTTCTAAATGTCTTGTGGCTGGCATTCAGTTCACTATGCGCAGACTTCTCATTCAACGTAGCTGTAGAGAGAGTGTCTGCTACATGCATGTACTTGCCAGGCACATAAGTAGTGCTGATGTCATACTTCTGTAGTCTTAGAAGTAGACGCTGAAGCCTTGCAGGGGATTTAACCAGCGGCTTCTTTGTGATTGGAACAAGTGGTTTGTGGTCTGAGTCCACTTCAACTGGCCCGCCATACACATAGTGGTTGAATCTCTCGCACCCAAATACAACTGCGAGAAGTTCCTTCTCAATCTGACAGTAAGTTTTCTTAGCTGATGTAAGGGACCTTGATGCGTAAGCATGCTTCCTGGAGGATGTATGCTCCCAGACCTGACTTAGACGCATCCACTTGCAGCTTGACTGGCTTGGTAGGATCAAGCAATTTTAGAATAGGCTGGCTAGACAAGATTCCTTTGAGACGTTCCACTGACGGTGTGTGCTCGTGCGACCAGGTCCATGCTGCTTCTTTCTTTAAGTTTTGTCGCAATGGTGCAGTAATTTCCGACTGTTTGGGAATAAACTGGGAGAAATAGTTGACCATTCCCAAGAATCTCTGCAACTCTTCTTTGCTCTGAGGCGAGGGCATCTCAATTATGGCGCACACTTTCTCAGCATCTGGTTTCAGCCCTGATTCAGACGCGATGTTTCCCATGTACTTCGCTTCACTGACTTTGTACTGAAACTTTGCTGTATTATACTTTACGTTTCCCTCTCGGGCCCTTTGCAACAGCTTGACCATGATTTCGTCATGTTCTTGCTCATCTGCAGCAGCGACAATGATGTCATCGAAGATGACTTCCACGCCGTCAATGTCTCCAAATATTCATTCTTCTTCTGAAAGACTTCTGAGGTGGACTTAATGCCGAAGGGCATTCGTTTAAAGCGATAACGGCCGTAAGGTGTACTGATCGTGCAGAGGTAAGAGCTTTCATCATCTAGGGGTACCTGCCAGAAGCCATCCTTTTCATCAACAATAGAGTAGACCCTTTTGCCAGTCAGGCGACTTGCCATGTCCTCTGCTGTCGGGATTCTGTGATGCTCACGAGGAATTGCCTTGTTAGAATCTCTTGGATCCAAGCATAATCGCAACGATCCGTCACGTTTCTCCACAATGACTAGACTGTTAACCCATGGAGTGGGTATATCCACTTTCTGGATAATATCTCTCTCCTCTACCTCTTGAAGTTTCAGTTTTAGTCTCTCCAGCAGGCTTTTCGGCACTCTGCGAGGTGGATGAACTACAGGCTCGACTTTGTCATCCAATTCAATGTGATACTCGCCTTCCATGCGCCCAACCCAGTGAACACATCGGAGAAGTCCTTTATAATTTCAGACTTGAAGCGGGGACTGGGCAAGAGTTTCAACCCTTCTGACGAGATTTAATTTCTGGCAAGCTGGAAGTCCTAAAATCGGCGGGGATTCAACAGCAATGACGAAATACGGGAGAGTTTTTTCCATTCCTTGAACCTTACAGCTTAAGTTCAGTTTTCCTTCAGGCTTCACCTTGAACTCTCCATACGATGAAAAAACAAGGCTTGTTTCTAGCAGCGGTGATTTGTTCTTGAGTTTAGAGTAAACACTAAGTGGTAATACGTTGGCTTCAGCTTCGGTATCCAGTGTAAATTTAACTGTTGTTCCACCGTTCGCACTTGGGCGCATCACAAAAACTTTGCGAAAAACTAAACAGGGCTGTGATCTCTTATACCAATATTAGAGACACCAAAAGTAAGAACTACCTCAGAACAGTTAGTAAAGTCTAAGCAATTAAAGTGGAGGGAAATTTACAACGAATATGATCATTGAGCTGCTGCAGGTCATCAACGTCAGTAATCCTGCAGCGCAAATTAGCATTATCATCTAACTGAGACGTAGCTAAGTTAAATTCATGTTGGCAACTAAAATCCACCCTACCCATCATAACCCTTTTTATAGCGGAGCTCTCGAGCGGAGCACCATGGGTAAGAAAATGAAGTAATTTACCCATCCTAGAAAACTTGGTAATCACGTGACCGTACACCGACCGACCGACCGACTGTCCGTCTGCACCACAGGCATACCAATGTAAAATAACTCAATCAACAGGTATGGCAACCCAAATGCAACTCGAGGTTATTTTGGCGGGAAATCGCATAGCCACCGGCGTCTTGTAAAGCAGAGACAACTTAAGAGTAAATAAAGACGAAACAGAAAGCGGAAATTGTTTCTGTATCCGTGTTGTCTAAAGTATTTAGTTTAGATTAACTGTCATGTCCGAAAATCTGGAATACAGAGCAGGAGAAAGGCAGAGAAAAAGAGAAAGTAGGCGGCAGGCCAGCGAAGCTCAGCGAGAAAAAGGGCGACAGAGCTAGAGGTCTAGAGCGAGAGATAAAAAACAAAGGAGACATTTTTTTGTCGGAAGAACAACATGAAAATTTTGTAGCGCCGGTGACAAAATGGGAAATGCTAGCGGCCACCAATGCAAGGTGAAAATGAGCGGCAGTGAAAAAAAAGTGAACGAGAACACGTACGACATTTCCTCCATAAAACGTGCAACTAAGTTTCTGGACGTTTCACGTTCTAGTCGTGCAAAACAACGGCAAAGAAATGTACAAAAAAACTGTGCTGCACTTGCAAAGTTGCTTTTTTTGATAATTAGACTTCTTGTTGTTTTTCACCATTCTCCGGCGTTGCCTTCGCCGCTTAACATTACACGATTTTATATTTTGTTTGAACAAACTATAAATATTATCGAGAGCTTCGCTTTTAGCCCTGGCTAAATCTGTATATTACGTATATACCAACTGTGAATACGAATACGTTATTTTCTAATTTTTCATTTAGTTTTGAGATTCTAAAGGACTGGTGACGTTCTGCTTTACCATCTAATAGTCTAGGGATTATCTGGTAAGCTCCCAATGCATCGGTTCGCATTTCTTTGTCTTTTCAGTGTCCATCTTGTCCTCTGTGGGTTTACAAAGATAACGAGGTTGACAAGGGTTAAAGGGGCTACAGGGCTTACAGGGATTACGGAGGTTACAGGGATAACAGCCAGCGGATAACCT